GTCACGTACGAATCTTGGCAAAAACAGGGTTCTTAGTGGCTGACTCGCACGCAATCAGGTCATAAGCTAAGAAATTTCTAGGAAGTTTTCCACAGAGCTTCCAGTTGTGCACGTACATCTACATAGTGCGATGTGGAAACTATAAAAGCAGCCTGGGATGAAATGAGAGTTGGGGGGGGGAACTGAGATGTCTGACGATGTAGCGCTGAATGTATGAAGTGTTGAAGACAGCAGTAGGAATTTGGAAATGTAAATAAATGTTTACTCCCTCTGGAAGACAAAATGGTGTGAATCGTGGCCTTCTTTCTGTCATAAGAGAATTCTACCAATGAGCTTCCACAGCATCTGCTCCTTTGTGCAAGGAGGAGCAGGAGGAGCACTGCCAGAGCCCTACAAAATGACCTCCAGCAGGCCACTGGTGTGAATGGCTCTGACCAAACAATCAGAAACAGACTCCACGAGGGTGGCCTGAGGGCCCGACGTCTTCTAGTGGGTCCTGTGCTCACTGCCCGGCACCATGGAGCTCCATTGGCATTTGCCACAGAACACTAGAATTAGCAAAATATATATATATATATATATATATATACAAATGTATGTATGTATACTACCTTTTACACCACAGCGAACATCTGGTCATGACAGGGTTTTAAAACAGAATGAAAAATGGCCAAAAATCGCACTTTGACCCAAAATGGCCGACTTCCTGTGGGTTTTAGGGCATACCTCCAAGAGACTTTTTTTCATGATTTGATGAGATCTACCGGTGTGCCAAAGTTCAAATCTCTGTGACTTACAGTTTCCCCCAACTCACGTTAGGGGGGCGCTGTGGCATAATTTGGGGGCGGCCATTTTGGATTCCATTACAGACCGGCTATTTCACGCGGGGGACAATTTACTGCAACGTTTTCCTGAGTTTTTGAATATGCGAAATCCCCGTAAAATGCGTTCGAAGTGCCAAAAGAATAATAATAATAATAAGAAGAAGAAACTTTCGAAATACAATAGGCCTTCGCAGCGCTTTGCTGCTCGGGCCTAATTAATATCAAAAACATATGATCAACCGACACAGATAGGTTCACCTGATAATAACTGACATAACTGGGAACTCTATTATGAGTTCATGTGTTCATAGCTTCATATTTAACTAACTTTTTTTTTTTTGTAAAGGTTTGACTCACTTTTAATTCCTCATCGGTTCTAATTTAGATTTTGCATTAACAGCAGGAACCTGAAGATGAGACTTACAGGCCGTAATGGGATCAATACAGGCTTGGCTCCTGCCATTCTGACCATCGGTACGTAGCAATCGAAGAACGGTTCCACTATGATCACCTGGGGAAAGAATAAATCCCATCAGTCTACTACATACATGGCCATACATGTATAGATGAACATTATAGCGTACAGAAGGTCTTCACCTCGTCTCCTTCATCCACAAGGCCCTGCATGGTGCTAAACAAGGAACCATAACCACCAACGGTGACCAGGATTTCTTTCAGAGGGTCGACATGGCGACCGTAGACCTTCCCATACACCTGTGAGAGGGCCTTCACCAAGGAGGGATGACCCTGGTTAAAGACGAGGCGACAAACATACAGTCATTACGGAGATCAACAGCAAAAAGCTTTATATGGTATACATCGAATTTACATTCCAAGAAAGTTAAAAAACTATCCGCTGGACTTTGTTTTCAAGTTTGAAGATGTTTCGCTTCCCATCCAGGAAGGTTTTACAATTCAAAATGTCAGAAATAGGGTTGAGTTCAAGGCTTCATAGAGTGGAACAAAAACAAAACCTTGTTTTTGCTTAGAAAACATGCAAACTGGACCTGATGAGCGGGTCTGACCCTCTGGAATGGGGGTTCTTTAGTTTCGTTAGCCTGTAATACCTGAAACCTGTCTATTTCTCTGACATTCTGAATTGAAAAAACTTTCTGGATGGGAAGCGAAACATCATCAAACTTGGAAATAAAGTCTGGTGGATTGTTTTTTAACTATTTTGGAATGACTATGACCTGGATGACTGAGAATTTTCACCAGCATATCTGGTTTAAATATGTTTAAAGAATGAGCAGACAGTTTATTAGAATTAGCTTGGTTTATAAATCAGTTCACAGCTAAATAAGTCCACACTCTGTTTGCCTGTAGTGTTAAAAATGAACCTCTTCCTCCTGGGCTCTTTAAACTTACAAAGCCTCTGGTGTACTGGTTCATACGGTCCACTGACGCTGCCTTCGCCAAAGCCTCCTTGATATAAGAAGGCGGCGGGATGTCTGGATAGCCTTGGCCCAGGTTAACAATGGACGGGTCAGCTGCTACTGATGTAAACGCCACCCTGGGGAGAGCAGCGGTGGGCTGTCACAGAGCTAAAACATGTTTAAGACTGATCTAAGAGTTTCTCACTACTGTATGTGTACTTGTGCGTTCTTGTGTCCTCGTGAAACGTCATCAGCTTCAGCCCTAGTACTGTTCCTATTCACAAGAACAAAAAAACGAAGAACGGACACAGTCCCAGGATGTTGTTCTTGCTCCTCCCTATTTACCCAGCATGCATCAGAGCAGACTTGTCCATTCTTGAGATTGACAGCTGTCCCAGCATGCATTGCAGCAGCTTCCAGTGGAGTGCTAACAGAGCTCAGAGTATTAAGTTCACTTTTCTGTTGCCGTTGTAGGAGCTATTTGTCCTGTCCTGTGTTTATCGCCACCAGGGGGCACATTTCATTTTGAGTTTGATTGTCTGATAGAGAAAATTATACTTAATGTGTCACTATATGGCACGTTTACCGATTTAGTGCAGAATAAAAAAGTTCAAATGTTGAGAGGCTAACCGCAACAAGGGCTAACATTAGCCCGTCTGCAGCAGCCATGGCTAACGTTAGCCCGTCTGCAGCAGCCATGGCTAACGTTAGCTCGTCTGCAGCAGACATGGCTAACGTTAGCTTGTCTGCAGCAGCCATGGCTAATGTTAGCACATCTACAGCAGCCAGGGCTAACTTTAGCTCGTCTGCAGCAGCCATGGCTAACGTTAGCTTGTCTGCAGCAGCCATGGTTAATGTTAGCTTGTCTGCAGCAGCCATGGCTAATGTTAGCACATCTACAGCAGCCAGGGCTAACGTTAGCTCGTCTGCAGAAGCCATGGCTAACGTTAGCCCGTCTGCAGCAGCCATGGCTAACATTAGCTCATCTGCAGCAGCCAGGGCTAACGTTAGCCCGTCTGCAGCAGCCATGGCTAACGTTAGCATGTCTGCAGCAGCCAGGGCTAACGTTAGCCCGTCTGCAGCAGCCAGGGCTAACGTTAGCTCGTCTGCAGCAGCCAGGGCTAACGTTAGCCCGTCTGCAGCAGCTGTCTCTCTGCATAGCCATGTGTAAAGTATCTCTGGCTCTAATGGCAATATTTTGATTTTATTTGGTAAAATGTTTATTTGATTTGTGTTTATCTGACTTTGTTAGTTATTATTCCCCCAATTAATGAAAAAAAGTCAGAATTTATTATCTAGAGACTATTAATAACAGGTGAAATGCAGCTCCAGACGAGCTGAGCATGTGGTGATGTCATCACTACGCTTCTATTCCAATTGACCCATATTTATGCTGCGTGGTCCCGTTCTCCCCGAGTCCAGACTTGCTTGTATTCTTCTCAAGAACAGACTTGGCGAGGACACGAGTCCGTACTCACGTTCTTGTGAATTGAGAAACGGGCCCTGTCTAATTTTTAAGGCAGGTTTTAAAATCTGTGAAAAACTGCAAATTTACTGTGAAAACCATTTTTCTAATAAGGCCTTTTTTTTAAAGTATGATTTCTGAGCATGTTTTGTTTCAATTTTCAATTTATGTAATGTGTTGTTTGCTTGCACCAGTAATGGAACAAATCTGACTCCATAGAATGTGAAACCCTAAAACCTTTCCAGCTGCTGCTGGTATTTTTAGCTGTTTACTGCTCAGTAAACAAGAAACCTAATGTGTGCAGAAGTTTGGGTGGTTTTTTTAAGTGCTTCTAAAACCAAACTGGAGAAATTAAAGAAAAAAAAAAGACATCTGCTGATTTTTACAGTGTTAACACAGTAAATATTGCATAAAGAGGTCAGTGGTTAAGTATTATTAGTGCTTCAATGCTTATTCACTTACCAAACATTCTTGTCCAGTCCTTTAATTCTTTTGGCATTAGTGTGCCTCGACGCCATTATAGACTGCAAGACAATAACAAAGTCTATATCACTGCACCAAGTGTAAACTACCCTCATGTCTGCACAGTGTGTTAGCGGGGGCAGTCAGAAAGTGGGTGAAAGTGGGATACTTAGCTGTGTTTTGTTTAGTGCGCCTACCTGTGAAGTACAAAACCTCCTGCAGATTGTTGGAGGAGAACGACATGTGAACCTGAAGCCGTTCAGGACGCACCATGTAAAGCTCATCCTGGATGAACAGGAGCCTAAATTAAGACTGGGGAATAACACTGTGCAGATCAAAGCGATGAATCTCTACATCTGTCCACCTGCTGCACTGTTTAGTTGCTCAGTAACAGCGGTTGCTTCCACCGACAGGCATTGCTTCACTTTCTGCTTCTCTTGGATACATTCTGTTAAAATGTCACCGTTTGAGTCATGATTTTAAAACTTTTCCACTTGTTATTTTCTCATGTGTGCTACAAAGTACAGGTAAAAAACAAATGTATTAGATAAAAAAATATATGAAGAGTATAAATGTTTTTAATTTTATTTTTTTGTCATACTTCCTGTGAGACAACTTATAGTTTAAGAGTTAAGTTTCTCTATGGCTGATCAAACAAATGCTCACATTTGATCAGTTAGCCTGCTGACCAACCACTAGAATTTTAAGTAGTAAGACTAAAATAAAATATTTCCACATTCTTCTATCAAATAAGGAACTTAATGCACTCAAAATAATTTGTTTATTATACAGTAAACATAAGGTATTGTTATATTTAGTTGATTTTACAATTAGAATAATCAAGTTTACAGTTTTTTTATTGGTTAAATTAACATAAAAAGAACACAATTATTTCTAATTAATAAATGTCATTTTCTGATGTTAAATAATTGCATTATTACATAAAACGATTCTAACAATGTCAGCTTATTAAACTGTAATATTGTATACAAATAACATATCGTTTAAATTAATGTTTAATATGTAAAAAAATATGTCAGTTATTTCCATAAAACACATGACTGCAGCAGAATGTAAACAAACATTTCCTTTGGATTGAAGCCAATGCTTCTTGGCAGTCACTAGATGGCGCCAGTTTGCATCACAAAATTCCAGTGAGGTTCATTAAATTGGGCCTCAAAGTCAAGTCAAAGTGCACCGATTATAGGAATTCACCACCAGGCCGAACTCTTTAAATAAATAAAAAACACTTTTCGTGTTTTCCACCGCGGACTCTCATATGAGCCGTCAGTGAAACGTTTGCAAAAGACGGCTAAGGTTGAAAGTCAGCTAGCATCGGCTAACAGCAGTTAATGTTACGGCTGCAGGAAGGACTGACCGGCCGTTACTTCTCTGCTATGCTGCTCGGCTCGGACATAAAGGCCTGAATACAGAGTCAGTCCATATTAAACATGTTCTGCTTTCTTATAAGAGACCAGGTCAACATCGACAGCTAACTAACTAACTTACTGTGGCTGTGCTGTTCAAACTGAGCTCCAGTAGGAAAAGACGTTTCACCAGACGCCGAAGAAGAAGGTGATGCGTTTAGAAAAATTGGAGGTTTCAAGTTTTCACACTCAAGAGACCAAAATAAGTACATTAATATATAAAAAAACCCCGACTGATTGAGAAGGTAGTTATTGATATAAATGTAAAATTAATAACATGAAAGTAATGTTAAATCCGAATGTTATCGCTAAAATGTAAGGCCGCATCTTTTTTTTTCTTCTACCCTTAACTATGATTTTGTAATTATAACTAACATCTTTCACCGTGGCAAACCATCAAATATGTCATTGGTTGGAAACATTAATATGATTATATGCGTTTAGTTTAATAAGTTGTCTATTTGACGTCCAAAAGGAGTCAGTGTGTGCTTTATTACGTTATTGGCCTTGAAGGCAACTGTCCCTGATTGGACGAGAGCCCTGAGCGACTCACTTCGTGTGTTTTCGGAAACACTCGGAGACGGGTGTACTGAACTCACCAAAATGTTTGTGTGTTAAGGTTTATTTAAGTAAATGGATCAAATACATGAATCAAATAGACCAATTGATTATCTTTTATGGACAGACTCTTGTTTCAAAATAGATTTCTGATTTTAGTTTGGTATCCGTGCATATTTGTAAAGTTTTTGTAACTTGTAATTAACATTTTGTGCTAATTTAAACTATCTGTGTGTCTGTAATGCTGGATTTGTATTTTCTTTTTTAGTTTGTAAATAGCATTTGTGTTTAAACTACAGGTACTTGTATGTGCATTCAAATACAAATACAAATATAATGAAATTATGAATACAAAAAAATCAAATCTGATATTTACGGATTCCAAAAAGGCTCCTACTCATAAGAACCATTACATTCATGTACACATATAATATGAAACAGATGGAAAAAACGACAGCTACACACAAATCGGTTTACAAGTGCACAATGTTTTTGAGACATATTCAGGCTTTCACCTACGGAGCTCCACACTTCAAAAAAATGTAAATCTAAGTAATTTTTTCTTAAAGTAAGTGCATTTTTTTCTTGAGTTGATAAGATAAGTGAGACACTTTGCCGATGGAACAAGACAATTAACATTTAAAATAAGAAAAAACAATTGCATTGTCTAATTTCAAGTTCATCTTATTTTAAGCGTAAAAATAACCTTTTAATTGGCAAATTTCAAATTTCATCTTATTTACTTACCCAAATTCAGGGTAAATACTAAAGAACAGGATTAGGGCAACTGAAAAAACAAAAAAAGTTAACTGATTTTTAAATTTTATTTCAGTTTAATATGAGAAAAAAGTAAGAATTCTAACTTTAATCTCAGAATTCTGACTTTAATCCCATAATTTTGGATCTTAATGTAGATGGGCACCATGAGAGAAGGGATGTGGGAGCTCTCAGCTTCACTGACTAAGATGTGAGTTGTTTGGCCACCATGGTGAAAAATGATGGAATTAGGTGACTTTCTAAGTGCCTGAGGGGTCCCCAGTGATGCTATTTAATTAATGGAAGAGCAGAAGGTGATTAAAGCGAGACAGCTAGGCTCTAAAGCAGACATGGTTACGGCTTGATGCTAACATGTTTGTTAGCTTTCAGAATTCAGTCAGAATTCTAAGATTAAAGTCAGACTTCTGACAAAAAAAAAAAATCTGAATTCTCCCTTTTTCCCCATATTACATTGAAATAATATTTAAAAAATCAGTTAACTTTTTTATTTTTTCAGTGGCCCTAATCCTCTTCCATAAAATACATTTAATTTAAGAACATTTAAATATTTCTAGATGCATATTCATATGTACTGTATGTGCTGGGTAGGTTTAAATGCTGGTAAAAGCTGGGTAATCTGAGTGTTGTTTGGAGTCTAGTTATTTTTTTCCACTGAACTTATTTCACTCATACTTTGATGGAAAAGACGATTTTCGGTAGAAAATCGGATACCTAATAAAACCTGTTAGTTAGAAGACATGCAACTGCATCTGTTTTGTGTTATGCTTGTTTATTTACATGCATTTGTGAGCTGTACAGATATTTGAGGAGTACATGGAGGCTGCATCCAGCATCTTCACATCCTAGTGGTTAGGTTGGAATCCTGCGGTTCTGAGTTCGAGTCCCACTCCCACAGACTGCCAAGACCCTTAACCCAACTCTGCACCACACAATGGCCGCCCACTGCTCCCCAAGGGGATGGGTTAAATGCAGAGTTAATTTATCCAATTTGAGATCAATAAAGTAAAAAAAAAAAGTCCATCCATCTGTCCGTCTAACCAACCATCCATCTAGTGTTCTTTGACAAACCTGGAGTCTCCAGTAAAGCACATTTAAAATTTAATTAATATTAATTAAAAATCCCTTATCATTTATTGAACAATATGAAATAATTTCATATTTAAAGTACTTTCAGAAGTTTGAACTCTGAATATAACCGGACTTCTCCTTTAAAGTGGCCTTTGACTGCGCTCTCTAAACATTACGCGTTTTTCATTTTTCCAACTTTCCTTTCATTTTCTTATCAGAAATTTTCTAGAATACCTTTATGCCAACGTAATGCAATTTTCTTCTTTTTTTTATATCGACAGCTGTTACTAAATATATTATATAAACTTTACTTATGTCTTCAGCATTTATTATGTTATCTTTTGTATCTATGCTTCTTTTTCTATGTCTGCTTCTGTCTCCTTGAACCCCAGTGGGCCTCAGCAGATGGC